GTTTCCCAACAAAAGTGGGGTGCCACTTTTTTTTTGCTAAAACAATGGCGTGCCCCTTTTTTTCTTTAAAAAAAATGGCATGCCTCCCTAGGAGGTAATGTGGGGCCCATATGGGTGGCACACACGTGGGGATGGATCCTTGGTCCCCACATGTGCTTTGTGAAGTTCTGAAATTTCAGAAATACTCTTTTGATGAATATTACAGCAGAAATAATATTTTAAAATTCTGAAAAGTATTTAAAAATCATAAAATATTTATGATAACAAAATAAAATATACTAAAAGTGGACTGGTACGAATAGGTCAAAATTAACGACAATAAGGGCACTCCACTTGACCTAAGAACCATGATCCACTACTGTTTTCTTATCCAAAAAACAAAAACCCACCCACAGTCTCAAAGTAGGAGCTCATGATTGGCTTGTCAAAATTAAAAATAAACAGTGGGGCCATGATCCTAGATTGTGGATTTCAGTTCCCCCATTTAAGAGCAAGTCTAGCACTTCTCACCGCAGTGCAATGGGGCTCTCTCTATACATATGTATACGTGTCCCTTTATAGAGCTACTTCTTTGTAATGCAGCTGTTATATGTACATGCTATGTGGAAGTTTGTTGAGGCTTTGGCCATTGCTCTGATAAGCCTACAACTGTACACAGAAGACCGCATAGTTCTTTTGGCTTACAAACATTATCCATGGGCATCTCACCAACTTCAACAAGGGATGACCTACTGCAAACTTTTCTCGGCTCTACCTCATACCGAGGGATAAGGCTTTTGGACATTACCAAGGTTGTGAACCGCCCAACCCTTAGACAGTCAACACACACACTCCCACTGAAACACATATTTTACTACAAAATGTCATATCTACAAGCTCTCTAGCCTTTAACGGCCACAAAACCCAACAAGCTACTAGTGGTCCCTGGGTGCCATGTGTAACTTTATGGTCACTTGGGTGGCATGTAGGGGGCCCCACTAGTTATCCTCAAATGGAATTCGGCTAAAAGAAATCCAAAACCCCATTTTTTTTGCTCCTGAAAATTATGAAAAATCCCAAAAAATTCTAAAAAATTCTATAAATTATATTCCATCATAAATAAGTATCGTGGCATCAAAATAAATTTGAACACAAGGTAAATGAGATCGTTAAGCTGAAATCTAAGTATTGGGGTACTGCACTGGGCTAGTTTGAAATGATGGTCCATTCTCTCGAAATGACCCAACAAGCCTTTGCTTCATAGTCTGTGGAAAAGACGTATAATATGGCTTCTCAAGGTCACCCTAATCAATGTCTCATCATTCTCAATTGTAAGTGGATTATAGGTGCACCCTTTATACAGGGGTCTTCTCAAGGCGCATGTGCACAAGCTCTTCCTAGTTGGATTACACATTAGAAGAGTGTCTTCCCATATGACTGTCGGTGCACATGCCATAAGGTGGTCTCGTGTCATGGTAAGGACTCATGTCCCATGAGTCAAGACCATCCTATACAGGGCCACTACACTTAAGGTACTCAAGTTCTAATCTCTTCATGATTCTCTTAGCCTTGGCCAACACTTAATTCATGAGGCATATAGTTTAATATCCCTGACTTAGAGGTGACCCTCACACTTATAAAAGCGATTTCTCTCTCTTACCGGTATATTTCATTGCCTCATGTATTTGGGGTATATGATTTTAGGCTCTAGTATGCTAAGCACCTAGAATTATCATCTCTCATTCACTCGCATTGAGCTAGGGAATCTTAGATTTAATGCCTTGAAAGGCAACAATTCCAACATGCTCTTCAGAAAGATCGTAAACCATGTCACAATTTTTGCCATTTGTGGCCATTAAAAGCCTTGATGCTTGGTTTTTGGTTCATAGCTCAATGTACTCCCCATGTATTTTGTGTACTCATGTATTTCTGATATTACCAAAAAATAAAAGTAAGACTCCCGATTTGAATTGGAGTGTTGGGCTTCATGGATGAAATAGGCCACGAAAGCATGCTCTATGGATTTGGAGCGGGTACTATGTAAGAAGGCATTAAAAAATTTCCACCTCTACTACCTGTAAGAAGCCACATTCTCCAAGTAGCTTGAAGTCCACTTCAGTTTTGGTGTCTGCAGTTGGTCTGTCCAAATTAGATGGAGGCAAGATCAATGGTTGTCATCCTTGTTTAAGTCATTGTAATCCTAGTTTTAGCGAGAAACTTGCTTTGATACCATATAAAACTTTATCAATAGAGATTAGAAGAAGAAGAGGAAGAGTGGTCTTGAAGAGGAGGCTGGGTCGTTGCACTCTGTTGATGTGGAAAAGCATACATCAGTATAGATGAGTTAGGGTTAAGAGCAATTTACTCCTATACCCTTATATACCTAACAAATTACAATAAGAGACATAGCAGAAATAATCTACATAGGATAGTAAATATTACATCTATGCCCCAAAATCAAGGCCAAAACATATTAGTGCTAATATGGAAGGAGGAACAAGTTATATCTTAATGGGTCCTAGGTCTTGAATATGTAGCTTCTCATGGTCCATGTTGACTACATCTAAGCTTAAGGTTTGTGGATTGAATAATGGGGTGTTCTCATTGCCTTATCCCATCTGAATTTGTTTTTCTTGCTTGCCCATTGGAATAAATAACCAAGGTGCTTTAATCAACAAAAGTTGGAATATAATTAGGTCTTATCATCACTTAATGTAGTGCATTGGTGATTGATCTATCCCATAGGATGATTAATGTGATCTCTGTATCTTCGTCATCTTTCTGATCTGTGCTTTCTAGAATTGTTCAAAACCCTGGACTCAGCTCAATGTCAATCTAGTCTCCATCTCCTTGGTATGAGTTAGCTGAGACATTCCAATCAAATGATGAGACAAATGTTGATACTAGGCCAAGACTCGGCACAATTCTGGGTAAAGTTGGATTTTGGTGAGTCTGGAGTTGACTCGTCGAATTTTTAAAATATGATTAGATCGCCCCATGAGAAATTAAAAACAGAAAATTTCAAATAATAAATTTTTGTTCTAAATTATAATATATTTCTTGCTAATTCTAAGTTTTTCATTGTGATTTACTTTTTGTATCTTCTTAGGCAAGTTCCTTTTTTAAGGTTCAGATATTGTAACGAGATTAATATCATCTCATTTTAGAGGGTAAAAGGGAAAGTGTGGATTTCATACACTTAATTGCACTAAAATCAATGGTTTACTGCATAGGTGGATGTACCTGTTCAACAGAGCTATCTATGGTATGGTTCAAGCGGTGGGGACCAGGACCCACAGGTAAGTAACTATGTTCCTCAGAATTTTATCTGTGCTGTCTCAAAATTTTGGTCATTGGACTAAATGGTGGCAAACATTGTGTTTGTGTTTTACTTTAGGCATCCGGTGCGTACATATTCCGGCCAAATGGTTCTCCTCCAACAGTTGCCTCTAGATTGGTAACCACTTGCATATTTTTACTTTCACTAGCATTTTCATAACTTTCATTGTCAGTTTCACAAGAAGTTGTCATGAAGCCGGTTATTATTTTGTATGTTAGAGTTCTAGTAAGATGTGTCTTAATATCAATTGTGCTCAATTTTAGGTACCATTGAAGATTCTTAGGGGACCAGTAATGGATGAAGTGTATCAACAATTTAACCCATGGATCTCTCAGGTTTTGTACCTTCCCCTTTCTATATATATATATAGCATTCATTACGAACAATACTCTCTCTCTCTCTCTCTATACAGACACACACATATATACACTCATGAACATCTCTATTACACACTGGATCATATCAAGTAGACTGTATGCTTTCTCATTTCTTAACTTGAGACTGTACACTCTGAAAGATTTATTTTTAACCTTGAGCTGACAGTTTTATTAGGGCCTTAAGCCAACATGTTTATTGAGACTTCTTTATGTGTTTTTCCTTTTCTTTAACACATCCTTTAATATACGCATCAACTTTCCGATGATTGATATGGAATATTGTGACGCGCCACATTATTTTTCTGATTGTATCACTAGCTGTTTATGAAGTAAATGTTTGAATAAGAGAGCATCATTGAAATTGGGACATTGTCGCTGCAATTGCGATATTATAACCATCAAATAACAGTTCACATGCTTTGAGAAATCTTATAACACCATTCTGGGTACCAATCTTTTGATAATTATTACAATCTGAAAAGATTTTATGCTCTCGCGGGAGATCATTTGCTCCCTCAGCCCAAATTCGACGTAGGAATATTTCTAGGACCCCCAAGCTTTTGGGATTTGACCTACTCAATACAGACCGTCCAATTCTTGGACAGTGAAAATCCTATTTATTTTATTTATTGAGTTAATTTTTTGAAATGCTCATCTGGTGATCGTAAAGTGGCTTCCAACAGATCAAGTGAATCCTCCTAAGTAGGTCAATTGCCTAAGGGAGTAAATGAAAATTTTGCTATTTTAAAACCAAAGAAGAAAAATGCTTAATCCACTACAGGTTTCCACCTAATATCCATCCAACATGGATGGTCATGTCCGTCAATATTGTCCTCACTTTCATAATCCTTTGATTGACAAATCATTGCACTAGAGATTTACTAAGATTGGTTTTGTATTTCCAGCCAATAATATCTAGAATAAACTGTTATGCGTCTTCCTTCCAAATGTAATTAGTGGGAACCCATTGAATGCCTACTGTTCACAATATTAACACGGTTAACTATGAATTAGGGGATTCCAAAATCCACTTATTAGTGATCAATAATGTTCGGGAAGTTGGCATGCCATGCATGTGACCCCCATATAGCATTAAACTACAAATCATAAGCACAATGAGTAGGGAAAATTCTCTTTAACATGTTGCCAAAGTTGATTAAACCAGAAGTCATGCGAGTTTTTTTCCGTGGAAAATTTACTCCGGAAATTCTTATCAAACTTCACCTCCTTGTGCTTATTGTACGAGCTGCTACTCATCGATTCTTGCTTGTCCAGGATCTGGGGTTGCAACTGGCTGGGCTTGGGAAGTGCCACGGTTGCCTAAGCCTTGCCCAAGATCCAAGCGGCCTGACTCAGATCCAGCCCTAGCTCTGCCTGGGCTAATGGCCCTTGACCCCGGCCTAGTCCTATAAGTACATGGGTGGCCTTGGCGCTGTCCTACCCTATTATGTCGGAGACAATCTTGGATTGCAATTCGCAAAAATAACTTGAATATGTTGGGTTTTTGTGGTCATTTAAAGGCCTTATGAGATTATGTATTGAAATTTTATAATAGTGGAATAATGAACTCCAGTGGGAGTGTGGTCCAAAGGGGCCGAAGTTGGCAATACTGCTGCCCTGACTCAAACTACTCTTAACGAGCTAGGCCAAGTTGAGTTTTAGAACCCTATGATACCTATGCGTATAGCACAACCGAGAAGGGTACAGGATTACCCCTTGATGAGGTCGTAAAGATGCTGAGGGTAGTTGGCCAAGAGTCTTTATGACCCTTGTGCGTGATTGGTAAGCCTGAAGGGATAAGAGCTAACTCCTCATCATGACCATCACAAGGCATGCACATATGATAGTCGTATTGGGAAGTAGACAACATTGAGGATGTTACGTGTACATGTGCTAGAGATAGCCCCCATGCACCAATTGCGATGAGTGTGTACAGATCTGTGTGACCTAGACTTGTCCTTAGGAGGAACTTGTGTAGTCCATAGACTGGGATTATGTTGTCATCACATATTGACTAGCTTTGGTAATCTAATCATGAACCTCTGTGTGGATTGTGGGTCATGAGAACTACTGGGTCAGTTTGAGAAAGTGAGTGTGGAACATAGTCACCAGTAGAGATGTAGTGCCTCAATATTTTTTCATTTTCCCATGTTGTTTCTTGATCTTGACCGCCCAACATTCTGCCTCATAAAGTAAAGCTGGTCTCATAACTATCCTACAGAACTTCCCCTTCAGCTTCATTGGTATTTTAGTGATCATATCAAACTCTGATTGCACATCTCCACTTCACCCACCTAACTCTAATTCTATGTGCCACATCTTCCTTAATCTCTCTATTTTCCTACATTATCGCCCCAATCCATTGAAAATGCACTTTATTTGGTATTTCTTGGCTGTCAATCTTAACTACTACATCATCTTTGCACCTATTATTACTAAACTTGCATTCCATGTCCTCTGTCTTACTCCAGCTAATTTTAAAATCTTTAGATTCTAGAGCATCCTTCCAAAGTTCTAGTATTGGCGCCTCATTGATCAAAACTATGTCGTTTGCAAAGAACATAAACATGAATGCCAATTAAACATGTGACAAAATTACTTACTTAAGTTAAAACATAATTTTATTTTAAACTGTATAAAGCACTTTATAAAACAAACCACCAAATTCCACAATAGGACACCCATAGGCTGTCCACATCATGCTGACATTGACAACCTAGTGCTGATGTGGGGCTACCACATGTCACCCTATGGCCACTTGGGTGGTACATGTGGGCCCCCCACTAGTTGTCCTTGTGTGGAATTAGCCCCAAACAATTCTAAAAATTTCTTTTTCCAAAGATTTCAAAAAAAATCTCAAAAAAATTATCTAAATCGTTTTCCACTAAAAATACTCACCTTGGCATCTAAATAAAATCAGACAATAAGTAAATGGCATCTCATGGATGAAATTTAGGTATCGAAACAATCCGCTGGGTTAGTTCAGAATTATGGTCCATTCTCCTAGAATGACCCAACAAGCCTATGCTCTATAGTTGCTGGTAGAGATGCATAATATGGGTTATCAAAGTCACCCAATCACATCAAAGCACTCGCTCCGCGAGGGGGGGGCAGTGGATTATAGGGGCACCTCTGAGGACATTGTACGCCTCGTATATAGGGGGTCCTCTCAAGGAATATGTGCACTAATTCTTCATAGTTGGATTATAACATATCAGAAGAGCGGCTTCCTGTACAATTGTGGGTGCACGTTCCATAAGGTGGTCTAGTGGCAGGGTACAGACTCATGTCCCTTGAGTTATGACCATCCTATACATGGCCATTATACTTAAGGTATTCAAGTAAGCTACTTGGATTCTGATCTCTTTTTGGCCTCTTAATTCTGATGTTATCACGTAAGGCATATAGTCTAAGTATATCCCTGACTACAAGTAACCCCTACACCTCCAAAGTGATATCTCTTTCTCACCCGTATAATCTCATTGCCTCATGTATTCAAGGTATATGATTCTAGACCCTAGTGCACCAAGCGCCTAGAATCATGTTATCTCACCTTCCATTGAGTAAGAGAATCTTGGTTTTAAGGCCTTTAAAGGCCATAACTCTAACATGGTGCAGGGGGTCATTTCTTCTGCACATATACACGTCATACCCCAATAGGTCGCATCCCAAGACAGCTATCATGTGTACATGTTGTGCTATGGTAATGATGAGGATTTGGCACTTGTCCCCTCAGGCCGGCCAAACGCACACAGGGGTCACAAAATCCCCTAGCCAACAAACCACTATGTGCATCTCTCTGACCTCGTCAAGAGATAACCTTACTGACCTCGTCAAGAGACAACCTTACATACACTCCACGGTTGTGCCATATGCCCACAGCTGAAGAATTTTAGAAATCATACCTGACCTAGTTCGTCAAGCCCGGGTAAGTCATGGCATCAAAAGTGCCTCCCACCGGACCCTACTCCCATTAGAGTTAACACATCACTAAATGAAAAGATTTTATTTTGACATGCTCTCATAACGCCTTTAAATGGCCACATAAACCCAACAAATAATAAGAATATAAGGAATAAAATCAAATATAGAAGTAATAAACGTAAATAAAAATAGAACAGATCAAGCAATATTTAATGACATAATAGTTACATAAAAAATGAATTTGCTAGATTTATTAATCCAACTATCTGAAGTCTATTTCTCAATGATACTCAGCTGGAGCATCTTGCAGTGTATGTGCCATTAGCTAGTTATATTTATTATCTCTTTATCTTGCAGTATGATTCAAATATTTCCAATCATGAGAATCAGATTACTGAAATTCATGCTGCTATCATATACATTCTCAGGTGATTAGACTTTTCAAAGACATGGAGCATGCTGAAGTTGAATTCACTGTAAGTTGGTTTCTTCATCTACTTTTACAAGTTTCAAATGATTTTTTTAATAGCTGAAGAGGCTGGAAGGAACATCCTCATTACTTAGGAAATTCTATGTATAACTTTTGAATCTTATAACCTAGTTATACAAAGTCCATATCAACCGTAATGTTGTGGTTTACAATCTATGGCTATAAATAATAGTCATATGAATTAGTAAATTTTGATATTTATTTGCAGATCATGATGTTGTTTGTTAGATTGTTCCAATAGTTCTCTGAAATAAATAATTTTATGTATGAAGATTGGTCCTATTCCCACGGATGATGGTGTTGGAAAGGAGGTCATCTCTCAGATCACAGCAAATATGGCAACCAACAAGGTGTTTTATACAGATTCCAATGGGAGAGATTTTCTAAGACGGGTACTCTTTCTCTTCTTCATTACCGACAAATTTCCGTAAATCATGAAAATTGATTGAACCAATTTATGCACTCTCATCTATGGCCTTCTTTCCTTATTCTGCATTTTGCAAGTCTTTACAATGGTTGCATGCATTATAATGGTTGCATGCCATTATCTTGTTGTCATAACCATTGACGTAAGAAAACAAACTTTTAAAACGATAGGTTCGATAAGAAATTTCATTTCATATTATTTTTATCATTGCTTAGGAATGCATTTTGTTTAATTATAACATCTCTTTTTGTATCTAAATTCCCAAAAAAAATTTCCTATGTGCTTTGGTAAAGATTTATGATAAATGTATAAGGTGTACACAATGCTTATGAACCTGTTCCACGTATGTAAAGATTAACAAATAGAACATCTGTTCGGCTAGAGATTTAACATGGTTACTTCTCTGTACTTAATACAATTTTCATTCCCAGTTGGCTGTGCCATTGATATTCCAAACACCATTAGTGACTCTAGAGTCGACTTGGTCACTGACCATTTCAGACAGCACCCCCACCTTTTAACTCGGCAGATTGCTCTGGCTCAGCCTGTTTACCCTTTCAAAACTGTTGGCCCTCTTATTGTCCTCTGCTAATATTATTTTTCTATTAAAAGGAAACAAAGGAAATGGGAACTGGAGCCAGGGGAGAGCAAGTATTTCTGAGGATTAAGGTAAGAACAGGATGAGTTCTGGGAGGGAGAGTGTGATCGAGGTTCTAGAGGGTAAGCTGCACCCAAAGTATGAGGTTCAGACAACTAAGGTTGAAGCACGTCCAGGTTCATTTTGGCACCTTGTGGTCTAGGAGCCAACCTCCTTGTTTTAACAAACCTGCATAAGGGTTAGCTGATGTAAATGGGCATTTACCAACTCCTGCTTAGGTGGCAATAATATATCCATGTTCAATGAGGTTATTGTAGTTTGGCTGACGGACTTGTTCTAGCCCTCTTCGTTTTGGTGTTCATTCACACTCAAATCCATGAATCCAATTAAGGTTTTTTTTAAGATTTTTGATGCTCTATCCCTTCCTTTGTTTGCTACTCTATCTGCTGCCCTGGCCTTTAAGACTTCCATGCCTTACCCTTAAGAATCCTTGTAAACATGTTAGCCGCAATTTACCCTAGATGTGAGTCTATACATCTTGGTGTGAACTGCGAAATAAGCTGTTAAATTCGTTTGTCAGATCTTCACACTCCTTCAAATTTTGAAGTGAAGCAGCTATAAAGTTCATGCAGACTATTATAAATTCCATTTTTCTTTGATGTTTACTATTGATAACAGTTCCACTTTCCAGGACATTAGATTCTTTTTTTTTTTTTTGTATTTTAAGTGATTAGTTCAAAGGGATTGTCTACAAAGAGACCATTTATCTTTTATACATTGAGGTTAAAATCATTCGTGCAATTTAAATTTCAAAATGGGTGGTTGTAAGAATGTCATTGAATAGACATAAAGTTCCAAAAAAAAAAATTCTTGGACTTCATGACTTACCCCAAACCATCCAATTTGACATCTAATGAGTGGGAATGATTGTGACTTCCATGTACAAAAGATAAATGGTCTCTTTGTAGACAATCCCTAGTTCAAATTGTATAATTTGTCTTCAATATGTTCTTATCATTTCTGTACTTGGAGATTTTGGACTCATTCCAATCGTGATCATTCTACTTGTGTTGAAAAAAGTTATGTATTTGTCATATTTTTGTATACCTATTGTTTTAGTACATTCCAATCATTATCTCATGTCGTGACATGTATGGAATTTTTTTTTTTTGGTTTTTTTTCTTGAAGTTTTGTACAATTGAGTGCACACTTACGTAGAAATCCAAACCCTCTTAATATGATTGCCGAAAAATCTCGTTATGATGGTCATATGTGACATCATCATGATGTGTGTTCTCAGGTGCGGGATTCTCGACCAGATTGGTCTTTACAAGTTAATCAACCTGTAGCAGGGAACTACTATCCAGTAAGATTTCTAATTTATGTTACCATGAGAAGAGGTCAATATAGCATTCTTTTCAATAGATAACCTTTGAAGTAGTAAATCAAAATTTTACAGTTGTGCATGGATTACAACACATGATTTGAGGTTTGTACAGAAAAAATGTATGCCTCTAGTGAAGGGTTTGTCTTATGTGTTAGGATAAAGAACAAAAAACTTGGACAGAATTGTTATTGACTGATTAGATTGGTACAATGTAGGGATTTATCTCACTAGATACCAAGTATATGTGATACAAAAGACTTAAATAGCCCTACATAAAGGACTATTTACAAATATACCCATCATATAAGTGTATGCATGTCAACCTCCCCCCACACATAATAAGTGACATTTTGCTTACTAAGTAGTCATGTCTGCGCCCTCTAATGGAGCAAACAAGTCTGCTGTCAGATTCTCTGAAGACATATACAAGGAAGGAATACAACACAAGACATTCTCGAATAGAATTATGATACATCTCATTATGCTTTGTCTTGTCATGAAATACTGGTTTGCTTGCAATATTGATAGCACTACTATCCCCTTAATGAGATTTGAAAAAAGAGATGTGTACCCCAGGTAAAGGGCATCACTCCTATAATTTGCCTTAGCAGAGGACTAAAAAAACTACAGCTTGCTTCTTGCTCCTCCAAGAGACAAGTGAGCCTCCCCAGAAAGTAGAGTATCCAAAAGTTGAGCACGAAGCATCTGGACAGCCAGTCCAATCAGAGACTGCATAGGCCAGCAACTGAGAATAACCTTTTGCCAATTATAGCATGAGCATATCTGATAATATCCTGAACTACTGTCACATGAGAAGATCTGGGTTAATGAACTACACAACATCTGAAATACATGTGAAATATCTTTCTACTGATAGTGGGATAAATGATACAACGAACTATCTATATGATGTGGGATTTGGAAGGTCTCCATCAGTAAACAATCTAACATTACGCTCATAAGGATCAACTATGTGCTTTGCTAATCAACTTTGTGCTTTGCTATATCCTGATTTAATAAGTGCTCTAGAGATGAAACCGAATCTTATAGGAAGCGACCTGGACTTCCACACTATATAAGTGAGTCTATCTAGAGTGTTCCTAAAACAACTTTATCCACTCCAATGCAAATTAGTTTATAGACTCATTACTAGTTTATAAATCTCAGCCTCTTCAAGTTATAGGAGAACTTATAGTAAGTAAATCTTAGGGATGGGTTATAGTTTCTTAGTGCACCAATCCAAATACCAAAATGATTTGTTCTTGTATTCAGGGATTTCATTTCACATTGTTGGGTCATCGGTGTTTTGTAATCAATGTTCAAGAAGTCGGAGGACAAGGTAGAACCCCCCCCACAACCCTACCACCCAAAAAAACAAAGGAGTTCTTAAGGCAGGTGTTTCAGCCCTTTAGAGAGTTCTCAGGGCAATTATAGAGCCCCAAAGCCCTTGGAGATAAAAAAAATCAAATATTATAGAGACAACAATGGTGTGAGACATTGATATCATCAAATTGCATCAAAACTTAAATGTCATTTTAGAAATAATACGCAAACTGATAAGTCAACCATCAAAAGTAAAAAAGACAAACAAATCTATGTCATCACTCATCACCACCCCAAAACTTAAAATGTCAACTATATGTCATCACCACTTGGGGTGTTCATGTGGTCCATCCCGAGTAGAATGTGATGATGATGATGGCATGCCATCGTCATGGCCCTTGAGCACTATCCCTCGTCTCTTTTGAATCTGCTTCAACCTCTTCATCCTCCTCTCTCAATTCCATCGACCTCTTCCACTTCTCCTTTACCTTCCCCTTCCCCTTTCCCTTCCTTTTGCTTTGAAATTGAGTTTGAGTCATCTACACATGGCTCAATGATTTCCCACCAGCCTCACGAACCTGGCCCTTTCCAGGGAGAATACCTCATTTTCCTCATCATCAACTAGCCAATCTCAAGTATCATCCATATCATCAGCTTCAATAGCCTCCCTTTCATTGTGCTCTAGTTGTTGATGGTGCTCTTGCAACTTTTGATTATACTGAATGAAGACTAGGTCATTCGGTCGCTTCTTTCTCAAGTCTATTCCTCTTCTTTGTATGCACCTATTAGATAAAATTTGAATGAACAATTAAAATTTTGAAAAGCATAATATAAGTTAACCTAATAAGCTAATTAAGTAACTAACATGCTGCCATATTGGTTAAGTACACATAGGTCGCTACTTGGACCACTTTGTCCTCCCCTACCTCCTCTATGTCCACCAAATCACAAATGAGGTGGCCTCATGGGACTTGTTGGAAGCATCAAAAGTCCTTAAGAATATTGTCTCTAACGGACAATTCACCATCAAATTTCTAGTGCTTCTACTTTTCTTATCAATGCAACCATCAATCATAATAGTGCAACCTTATATAGCCCATGCATTTCTGGGGGCCCTTAAAAAGTTATTAGTGAGCTCAACTTCTTTTCTGAGCAATGGTCCCTTAAACTCATAAGCAGTTGGTGCCCTAAACCAAGCCTTATCTATTTGAGGTCGGCTATACGAATCATGTTCTGTCATTCCACTCTATCAAGGCTATACCCTCAATCAAATTATAAGTCACCATATCTCTTCTCATTGTTTTCATCTATGTCCTTTTGGGACTTCGCCTTGCCTTTTTATAGCATTTCACTTGAACCAAATCGACTCTCCTCATCAGTGTTGTTCCAGGTCAATATGGCATATGGGCCGTGCAGCTAAGTTTACTTCCCCTCATCTTGACGCTTATTGGAGCCATCCTTATATATATAATGACTTCTTTTGTAAAAATTTAACAAAAAAAAAGTACTCAATATATTTTATACTATACACACACTCATCTTTGAAAAGAGCTTTCTCAACCTTCAAGTTAATAAGCTTCTCTTTAAATAATATAATCAATCTTAATATCACTAGCTAGGGGTATACTTTTAAATATGGGGTCTGATTGTAGAAAGTTAGACCATGTTAGTAGAAACAACGTGTTTGAATGACGAGTCATTTTCTTCATGCATCCCATTGATTTGCACGTCGACCCTTTCACTTTAAAAGGTTATTTTCTCTCTATCTACTACTTTCTAAGGGTATGATCCAACCATCTTAACACTATACGCTCCCTCTCTTTCTCTCTCTTCAACTCTTAATAGTCAATTGAAATATGGTTACTTTTGCAAAGATGAGTGATAATAATTTTAAGAGAAAACGATGAATATCCCCCTTTTTTATAATTGAAATCTTAAATAAACCCTCGTTTCCATGGAAAACCCATGGACTCACTCATAGTTAAAAGAAAAGGACGCTTGACCCCTCCCTTTCTTTTTCTATAGTACAAATAATAGATGAGGTACCATTCTGTATGTTGCTTGTGGACGACATAGACTTGATTGATGAGACCTGAAGCGACATCAACACAAAGTTAGAACTTTGGAGGGTTGCTCTAGAATCTAAAAGTTTGAAAATTAACCGGACTAAGACAAAGTATGTAGAATGCAAGTTTAATAATAATAGGATAGGAGTAGAGACGAGGAAGTAGTTAAGATTGACGACCAAGAAATACCAAAAAGAGCACACTTTCGATATCTTGGATCGAAAATCTAGGAAAATCGAGAGATTAAGGAAGATATCGCACATAGAATTAGAGTTGGGTGGGTGAAGTGGAGTTGTGTAACTAGAGTTTTATGTGATTGTTGTATACCAATGAAGCTGAAGGGGAAATTCTATAGGACAATTGTGAGGCCAGGTTTACTTTACAAGGGCGGAATGTTGGGTGGTCAAGAAACAACATACCTATAGGATGAGTTTTGCTGAGATGAAGATGCTGATATGGATGAGTGGCAAGACAAGAAGGGATAGAATTTGAAATGAATACACATTCGAAAGAACTGAGGTGTTGCTCCAATAGGTAATAAGATGAGAGAACATAGACCTATGTGGGTTGGCAATTTACAACGCAGACCTAGTACAACACTTGTCAGGAGGTACGAGTTGGTTCAAGTGGAAGGCTCAAAAAGGACAAGAGTTAGCCCATAAAGTTATAGTTGGAAGTAGTGTAAAAAGATATGGGGATGTATGGCCTCACTGAGGTTATGGCCCTTGATATAGCAGAATGGAAAACCAGGATTCGTGTAGCCGACCCCAAATAATTGGAAAACTGCTTTAATGATAATGATGATGATCTTTTTTTTTTTCTATTGACCCCAACATCAAAACCTTAGAAAAGATACTTTCCCACTCCTCATCACCAGTGAACCCTTTCCTGTCTCTCTTTTTCTCTCTCGCTCTCTCTCTCTCTCTCTCTCTCACACACACACACACACACACACACAACTGTCAATGACAGGGTCCTCAGAAAAAAGAAAAAAGATGAATATTGTTAATTTGGACAATGAAAAGGCTGGACAGGATTAAATTTATTTGTCTTCAAAAAGATTAAATGCACCATGCTATGAACTATCAAAATCAGCAATGGTGTAAGAAGAGAAAATTTCTGTTGATGGGTAATTGGCCCCTTAAGGGTTAAAACATTTCTCTATGCAAATGACTTATCATGTTTGTATAGATTAGTAACTAGCATTCAATGCATGCAATGCATCATCAATAAAATACCTAAGAGAGAGAGAGAGAGAGAGAGAGAGAGAGAGAGACTTATCATGTTTGTATAGATTAGTAACTAGCATTCAATGCATGCAATGCATCATCAATAAAATACCTAAGAGAGAGAGAGAGAGAGAGAGAGAGAGAGAGAGAGAGAGAGAGAGAGTACGTAGTAGTACTAATAACTAACGTAACGTAACTAACTTAACGTTAACGTTAACGTAACGTAAGTTAATTTAAGTTAAATTTAATTTAAGTTAA